GTAAATTAATCTATCGGAAATTTCGGTTGCATTTATAAATATGCGCTGCCCACACAAAACGCACAACGACAACAACCGCAACAGCAACACATAAATATATGGATATGCCACAAGCTAACAAATCATTTCATACATTTGAATACCTGATAAATTCCATATTTGCTTAATTATCACAACACCGCCTTTCAACGGCAATCACTTGCGCATGCATCGAATGTTTTGAAAACATTAATGTTTTTCATTGATCAAACAACTTCCATATAAATTACACCATTCCATTCATGCATGTGGATTCTTTAACACGTTCCGATTTTGTTGAGCGATAAAGTCGTCTCTTGAAGCGCGGTCTCATTCGCGCGCAGGCAAAAATAAATACGCACACAATCGAAAAACAAATTTGTGTGTTGAACTGACAACGACATCGACGAAATGGGACAACGAATTAAACATGAAGAACAATTCAAAAGAGAACCTAAAACAGTATCATCCTACACTATTGCTTGGCCATTTTTTTTCTTCTTCTTCTCTTCAAAATTCAACATTGAATTAAAAACGTTTCCAAATGAACAGAGTGAGAAAAAAAATATCTCCCGTATCGAATTAATGACAACGTTTTTTGCTGATTCTTCCACAGCCAAATCGCTATTCATCAAAAAACCATTGCAATCGTGCATAATTAGGGCGATATCAATCAGAAGCCATGTAGCCAAATGAAGTGAACAATTGAATTGGTGGCGACGACGACATCGATCAAACGAAAGGCTAAATCGCAAAGACACTATTTGGATTGGGCAATTCGCCTCTTTGTTTCAACCGATTTGCGAACGCTTAGAAGAGAGGAAAACAATCCACATAACAATGTGCATAGATTTCGCGTAGGAGATGCTAAAATGCCAACTTACCAAAAACATGCGAAGCAAATTACAATTTTCAACTAATAATCGCATGAATTTTGAATGTAAACTGTTCCAATGAAATTGGCAAATTTTTTGTCTGGTTTTTCTCATGTTCTATTCCGTCAAAATGCGCTATAATTGGAAATGTGTGTTTCTATTCCATTCAATTGCAATTTTCCACATTTTCAGGCAAAATGGGCCATTTTTTTCGTTGATTTTTTGTCGGCGTTCCGCTCAATTTCGGCATCACGTTGTCGCTTTTAAGAGCCATACCATCAAAATGTGAACGGAATTAAAGTGTACGGTAAACGGTCAGTTATGAATTGATTATTGGCCTGGAATCGTTGGTTTTTTTTTCCTCTCTGTTCTGTTTATTGGCTTTTAAATGGCAGTGTGCGAGAAAAAAAAAGAGGAAAAAAAACCACAGTACACACAAGAAACAATCACACAACGATAAAAACCCATTAAATACCGCTATTTGGGAGTGTTTTCTAATAAATAATTACGCTGTACGTATTGGTAATCAATTGTCAGGCCGCTGCTAAATTAAAAGAAAATCACAAAGCATACAATTTCAGGCAGCCGCAGTCTCAATGGCTGTGAATTTACGCGATGAAGATTGTTTCTGTTGCAGCGGTCGTGCCACCGCCATTGCGCACGCCAATTGGTAACCAAACGAAGAGAAAAAAATTAAAATGTATAACACCAATTTATGGTTTAAATTGAAGCGCAGACCAGAGCGAGAGAGAGAGAGAGAGCAAGAAAAAAACATGTAAAAGAGGCACATGCAACTCTCGAGCTTACGCTCTCACGTCAGATTGCTAAAATAGCAATTATTTCCGTAAATTATGATTAAAAAGCGAGCAGAACAACGAAAATGAAACGAGCCAACGGAAAGAGAGAGAGAGAGAAAGAAAAAAACGGCAGTAACAACAAAACGGTTACACTGCAGTGGCAATAAGAAGCCACCTCTGGCACAAACGACAATTACAAATGCGCTAACATTGCACGTGTATACGTCATATATTGGCATGGCTCAAGTCAAAAGATACACGGCGGCAATTGCAGGGCGAGCGTGTGAACTGATTTTCTACAACGATACTGTCGCTGTTTGTCGCTGTTCGGCTCAATCGTATTTCACAGCCCAAAATCTCAAGCGCAATGGCCAACACATTGGACCATTGCCTTGTGTTCTGGTTATTATTTCCTTTTTTTCTTTTTCGTCTCTTGGGCTGTTCGTGATTGATAACGATTTTTGTGCACTTTAATTAAAACACTTATTGTCACATCTATTGACAACGGGTCATGCATCCAAAAAAATAAATCGTTGGAAAGCAGTAACTGCCAAAAATAACAACCACTCTCTCTCTCTTTCTCCATCTCTCACTTGAATTACTCTCTTCGCGCTGACCATCTCGTGCGGCAACAAGAGAAAATGAAACAAATAAAATGTGACATAAAATCAAACAACGAAAAGACAAAGAACCAACACGAAATAAAATAAAATGAAAATGTTTGTTGTCAATACAAAACGCTTTCAATGAAGGGAGCAAGAGGAGAGAAAAAAACGAAGACAAGAACAATAACAACAACAATACGAGAGAGACGAATAAAATGTTCGTTTTTGCCTCATTTCGTGGGTATTTATTGCAGCGAGAAAATCGTTTGGTACATATTTATTACGGTGTGTTTAATAAATTTACATAAAATAGCGTTTGCCACACACATACCCAATGTACGATGTATGTACATATCGAAAGATCTCTGAGACAATTTTCTGGCCCAGCTCAATACCAATGCCAGATCAAACGTAATTGTTCGCTTAGTTCTTCTCTATTTTTTCCCCGCGTTTTATTTCGGGCCCTGTTGTTTCAATTTATTCGTTAAATTTGTTATTTCGGTTTGTTCAGACTCACTTGTTGTTGTTGTCGTCATTCTTCTGAGTAGAAAACAAATGAATGTGGTATTATTTGGTCGATTTGATACGCAATTCAAACAGCGGCCCAACAGTTCGTCTATTGCATTTCGAATTGTGCGGTCATTGTCAACGCATCTATGAGTGACTTGATAACAATGACCTCGATGATTATGATATTTATTGGGCCTAATCCGTGGCATGCCATGTTGCATTGAATGTTAATAGAGCATGAAAGCGAAACGAAGAATTTTTCACCAAATATCCATACTGTTTTTGTCTTCCTTTTTCTTCTCGTTTGAGTGTTCTTTACCGAATATGATGAATGCAAGTGTTTTTTTTTGCTGTTACTCTTTATTGCTCGAGTTTTTTGGTGGTCGCGCGTGCACTCGATCACACACACACACACACACATATTTCTCATCGAAACTTTTACGAGCGATCGTTCTATTGTCATTATTTCATCGACTTTTGTAATTAGAATTTCGCCTTTTTTTCTGAATAATAATCTCTCGATTTTTTGTTTCGCTTCTTTCACAAAAAAAGAACACACGATCGAAATGAAAATAAATTGAGTAAATCGTGCGCACATTTCACATTAAATACACGCATTTAACATACACTAAAGGATTCAAAACAACTCAAACCATTTGAAAATTTAAATCAATCTTTCGTTCGTTTCGACCTGTTACCGTGGTGTGTCTCTTGCTCGTAGGCATGATTTCTGTTGGAGTTGTTTTTTTTCTCTCTTTCAATCTACTTTTACAATTTAATCGCTTGGTTTGCCGCATTTATTTCGACTTCATTTAATTTATTTAAATCGGTTCATTGTCTAACATACACGGAGCCTTCCAATTTCCACAGAAACAACCAAATAATAGTAACAATGAATTACATGCCTTCTGCATCGAACAACAACGAAAAAAAACAACAGAAAACTCTCTTGGCCAATGAGCATTTTAAGACATTTTTCACTGTCACATTTGAATATAGCTTCTCGACTCCTGTCTGTGTTTTTTTTTCTTAGTTAATCGTTGATTCCTGACTGAATCCCCTCGAATGCGATTGATCAGTTATTTTTTTTCATCGTTCGTTCTTCATTCGTGTAAGGAATTTTTTTTTACAGAGAAAATCGATTTCAATCAATGCGTAATTGAAAAGCGATCATACAATAAAACAAAGCAGAAGAGAGAGAGAGAGAGAGAGAGAGAGAGAGAGAGAGAGAGAGAGAAGAAGAAACAATTCGATAAAACCATTAACAAAAAGTTAGTTACGTGAAGCAACCAGGGTATATACTTAGAAGGAACGCGCACACACTTTTCAAAATGAAATTAAAACAAAAATCGATTTTGTCGGTTGATCCGTTTGCCATGGTGTGTCTAGGTGTTTATTTAAATTGGTTTACTTATTCGTGTGTTAAACATTTTGGAAAACTTTAACGAGATGGGCCCAGGGAACCAATGAGTAGAAGAAGAAGAAGAAGAAAAAAAAACGATCGAGTAAATAGTTAAAGACTAAACATTTGATGTTCATCTAGCTCGTTTATGTTCGGTTGATGATTTGATTTTCGGGGATTTAACGATTCAATGTGCGTATCAACGTTTTGGAACGTGGAACAAACTATAACATTAGAACGACACACGATTATCAGGTAATCGCTCACATTTTCCACGTCTCAAGAATATAGCCGATTCTTTTCCGAATGGATTTTAAATGTGAATAACGTGGATGACAATCGATTTTTTTTTTCTCTTTCCGATTGCGTTTTCCACTCAATTTCGATTGCATTTGCGTCGACGTAGGAGGTTTTTTTTTCTCTTGTTGTGTGTATAAAATTCTAATTAAAACGATCGCTTTTGTGTTGATTCATTTGATCAATTCAGATAATGTGACTTTCAATCGAGAATCGAATAAATAATTCGACTAAATGATCACATCGATTAAAACTGTCACAATAATTTTCGGTCCACTGTTGAATGTCGAATAAATCGAAATTTGGTTTCGATTCGTCGAATTGTTCCAATTAGACTGTGGAATAATTATTCGAAAAACAAAAATTCGGAACTCTCAATGTGTCTTTTTTTCACGATTGTTTTCGTTCGATTTTCATTTCATTGCACCACATTTATCAAGTTGACATATTTGGTGGAACTAATCGAATTCTATTTTCAATTTTTCTCCATTCACAGGTATCAACGTCGGGCAATTTTGAACTACAAATCTTAGAAATATCAAATACAAATAGTCATTTACTATCTGGTTATTGTTGCGGTACACCGCTAAGTATACGAAGTACAAAAACAACCGGATGTCCACAGTGTGCAACGGCATTTCGGCTGTGCCTGAAGGAGTATCAACAGAGTACGGTGCAAACGCAACCAGGCGTATTAAATGGTTGCTCATTTGGAAATGTGACCAGTGGTGTCATCGGAGGCTCTAGTTTTGTTCTCAGCGATCTCGTGGCCAAATCCGGCTCATTAGTGCTGCCATTTACATTTCGTTGGACGGTAAGTTTCATATTCATTTCATTTCATTCGTCTAGCTTTTATACATCTCTCGTCACTCACACTGACATTCTCGATCGCTATAAGCACCGTCAAGAAATTAGCATTCAAACTAAATACAAAGTTTGTCGTGCACATTGAACTCGTACTATTTTTGCAATTGTTGGACCGAGTGCGAGAGAGAGAGAGAGAGAGAGAGAGAGTCAGTGAGAAATGCGTTCAATACGACCATCGGTCATTAAATATGAAATGCAAACACATAAGCGGTTAATTTATGACATTGTTCATTGATTACGTCATTTCATTCATCGACAATCGTCTTTTTTTTCTCCTGTTACAATTGATGCAATGTGTGTATTTCCGATTGTCCGATAGCCGGCAAAACGTCGGCAACATCCACAGGCCCATTCATAAATGCCTGAAAATGGACCATCGAACTGTATCACATTTCATAACTAATTTTCCGTTTATCTTTCAACTCTTCGAACCAAGCATTGGATCTCTAGACGCGACACTCCAATTGAAATTTGATTCTTTCGCATTGAAACATTGAAATGCGTGAATGGTTCTTGGTTTTAAATTACACGACCGATCGAATCGCCATTTAGTCTTTGTTTTTTTTTTTATTGTGAGCTGCGAACCGAATCAGAATATGTTCAGATCGAGCGAGCGAAAAAGCGACACAGAGACAGAGAGGGAGAGAGATATGTGAGAAAAAAAAAATATAAAGATCACAGACGGAATTGAAACGGAAAACAAACTCACAAAACCGACCCGACCGAAGGATGAATTAGAATACTTTTTTTTACTGTGCGGTTTTTATGCGCACTGTCGACACTAACTTCACATCGAAATCGGCATTTTTTTATTGGCATTTCCGTAGTGACATATCGCTTCTAATTAATTAAAAGATACGCGATCCACAATCTACACATACACACATTGTTTATATTATTCAAATTGGGTGGGAGAGAGGGAGTTGTCGGCCAAAAAAAAAAAATCTCAATATACATTTCGGTTTGTGTTGCGATCGCAGAAGCGGCAATATCGACATCAACACAATCATATCATAACAATGAAGATATACACCGCTCTCATACTCATTCATGTGATCTTCTGCCGCACCATCCATTAATATGCATATTAACAATTTTTGAACGTTTCATTTTATTCTATTTTTTTCATCTTCTTCGATGTGTGCGCGTGTATACTCATTCTTGTTGTCTTCTCATCAGTTTAGTGGTTCGAAAAATATTTTTTTTTTCTGAATATCTTTGAATTGTTGTTTTTTCGTCTTTTTCCAAATTTGGATTTTTGTTTTTGTACTAGGCGTTTCTGGTTTCTATGTATCAGTTTGTTTATTGTACAGAAACCGAAAAAAAAATTGGTTGAATACCATCGATCTATGATATCGAAAGCAAACGTGTCTTATAAACTTGTCGGTACATGTATTTTACACACAAAAATTTCACATAAATTTGATAAAAGCAAATACACAAGGTTAAACAGCTTCAAAAACTACTTTTTTCGGTCTGGATGCTTCTTTTTTTTCTCTGTATCTCATTCAGCTCTTTTCACTGTGTCTCATCGCCATCGACCCGCGAAATTTCTTCATTTTTAGTTTATCGCTGTCTGTGACAATTTATTGCTTCTGATTGAACAATAAAAATGAATTTTTCGATAAGATAACATAAAAATGCAATGTGTCGATAGCAAGAGAGGCGGCGTGCGCCCGAGAGCGCTGGAGAATGAATCAAGTTCATGGGTTGAAAAATCGATGTGAAGAAATGAAGAGGGGCCTAATGAAGTCTCTGTGACGATTTCATCGGAAAGCATTTGATTTGCATCTGAAATTGTAATGGTGTGCGCGTAAAAAGAAGACAAACAAAAAGAGCAATGAAACAAGAGTGCGCACCGCACACGGCACAGCAGCAGCATCAGGAAGAAGAAAATGAGGATAAAAAGGAAATGGTAGCCATCATAACACAGTTGGATACGAAATTAGATATTGACACATTATAATAGAATTATAAAATTGAATATTTATTTAATGGCTGCAGATCAGTGAACGGAACTGAATCGCGAGCTCATTTCACACCCATACGCATTGAAATGAAAGGGCCGGTTTCGATTGCGCACAAATACACGGGATGCAGTTTGCATTTCGGTTGCGGCTGATTGTCTCGGACAAAACTCTGTGTCGCTCGCTGTTTTTTTCTCGCTTTCTCTCTCTCTCTCTCTCTCTCTCTCTCTTTTCATCCACCACCGCTGATAAACAATTATTGCGCACGTATTTATATGCGACGCATGTTTTCTCTCAACATGCTCTCGTCCAGCCGTGCATTTCATTCCGATGAATCGATTCTGTTGATGCACTCGAATCGGCCACGAATAAAATCAACACACCGGAGAGAAGAGAAGAAAAAACTCTCCGAAACCTTAACATCAGAGACATAAAAAAAGGAACGAAGACACACAGAAACACACAATATTTCTTGCATCTTATCTGAAGGTTTTGATCTGTTTGCTTTTGTTTTTTTTTGTGTGTGTCTCCTGTTCATTCATTCGATATATTTATAAATACCAATGTAAAATGTGGATCTGCGTGTGTGTGCTTCATTCTCGCGCGCATCACATCAATAAAAAAAATTTAATTGGCTAATGTATCGAAGACAGGCAACAACAGCAACACATCGCTACGTCAATCGATGCGGTCACCACATCATTCACATCGTATAAATTTATTTATATTTATTCGTTTTTGTGTCGCTTATTCCTTTTTTTTTGTTCAATAATTTCTTTCTTTTTTACGCTCTCTCTCTTTCTCTCCGTCCAACAACGAGAGGCATAAAACCAATCGTCATTTTACGAAAACAGCAAAGATTATAATAAAAAAAAACCAACATATCTTCGCTGCACCGACTCTCTCAATTTTATGTTGTGAATGGAGGCGAATGAACAGAGAAAAAATGCAAAATGAAAATGTTACTCAAATCCAATAAAATTTGAAAACGACTCATCAATCGACATAGGCACAACACAACGCAAGAAATTGCTCATACGTTGTAATTACGAGAATGAACTTCCCGAAAACAGAAAAAACATTTCGTACAAATATTTCGTGTTTTTTTTCTTCATTATCGTCAATTCCAATTGCACGTTGTCGCCGTATACTTTGCGTTCATTCATTCGAACGTTTAGTTGGGCATTTTCATTCATTATCATTTCGCGAGATCCGTGCGCAATTCAATAAAATGCAATTAAAACACACAAACCACTTGCTACACCAGCCATTTCCTTTCGTTATTTATGTAACCGTTTTTTTTTGCTTATGCTCCATTGGGAAACGTTCTCCGTTTCACATTTCAAATGCTAATCGTCGTTTTGTATGCATCAATATTTGATCTAGCCAGCGATCGTAAGCTGTAATGCAATTTCCGATGCCAATTCGAATCATTTTTGGTCGATTTGTGCGGCGCATCGTTTTTAATGCGATATGATGTGTCATGAAGATTGGTGTCAATGGGCATAAAAAATGAGCGAAGACATCGCCAACCTGCGCATGAAGCCAACTTTCCCCCAGAAAATGATTAAATTCGCGTTCAGTTCGGTTCAAATCGATTTTTGTTGCCTGCTCCCACATTTGATAACAAAGATATCGCGATTGTGAACGTGAACATCGGAAGATTAATAAAATATAACGGATTTTGAAATGAATTATTCTGCTTTTTTTCTTCTTTTGCAACGTGACTTTTCCGTGTGGCTCAAAACCGAATTCACATTTTCGACTTCGGACATTCTCAATCCAAACAATTTACTTTATTGCAATCTCGTGCTTAATTGCAATAAAAAATTAATCGAATCGCGCCCGTAATTCGCGAAAAGAAAAATGGCGATCAAGCGATTGAGGTAGCGAGAGATAGAAAAGAAGAGATGAATGTTAAATTGCACAAATCTTCGATTGCAAACGTAAAAAACGGTTAAACTGTTAAGATTTCATTATCAATTTAACAAATCTAATCAAGCAAATGTTGCCGTTTAATTTGCCACAGTGTGTTGCTAGCCATTTTTCGCGTTAGAATATACGTATGATACAAATATAAATCCAAGTGATGTTTATTGATTGCATTCGTGCTTTTGTGTTTGAGAAAATTGAAATGCAATTGTGCAATTGGTCACATTTTATCTTGTCACCGTGCGCGCACAGCGACAACAACAGCAGCAGCATAAATTTGTTCAAATGAAAGCCCATTAGCTCGAACTCGATCGTTCTTGCAATAAACACATATTTTACACGTAATTTATTTGAAGTTCTAGCTGAATGCAATGATCCGTTTGTATTCGATCGATCTATTTATTTTGACGGGAAAAAGAGAAAGATAGTGAGGACAAATCTGTCAAATGGTGTCTGTGTGCTTTCGGTTTGTTTAAGAGATCAATTAAATTTCGAATGTTCGAAAAGCGTGTGTGTGTGTGTGTGTAGCATCCACGGTTGCGCATCAGGTTGTGTGTTGTTATCGTCAATGTGATCTTTTCGTTTGTACGCTCTACATTGAAATGGCCTGTCATGTCCATTAAACTATTGCAATTTGTTGCTCATAAAGTAAATGTGTTTTTCTTTCATTTGACCCAAAATGTAATTCACTATTCAAATTGATTTCTCATTCAAGTTAACCAAGAGAAAAAGAGAGGAGTCAAGGCGTTCGATGTTCGGTTCCGAAACCGATCCGTTTCATCCCATTCATATATGAAAATTGCGTACAAATTACGTTTTCATATTGAAACATTTTCTGTAAATGCTTAGGCATGATAACGAAATAATTGGGTATCATCCAGTGAAATGCTAGAGCATGGATCTCTGTTGTTGTTGTTGTTGTAGTTTTTTTATGTGTCTTTGCCGTGGTAAATTCTAGTTTGTGCACAGCACATACACACATTATTAGAAAATGAAGAAACAAACATGAGAAAGATCAACAACAGCAACACAACACGCGGCCAAAAGG